CTGCAGTCAACACCTTCTTTTGATGTTTGTTGCAGTTTTATTTGATGAAACTCAGCACTTTGTTGTAAATGCTTATAAGAGTTGGAACCCATTGTCCGCATGGCTTTTAGTTCACTAGTTACATAATCAGGTTTATTGAGAAAACTGTGAAAAGGACAAAGCAAAAAGCTCAATAATACATTCGGTCGGGCGCGACACATTCTTCTGTTGTGTGCTAAATGTAAATGTGTCTTGACCTATGGACCCACTGTCAGGTTCAGTTCAGTACATTGAACAATCTGTCTTGGCTTAGAAAAGAAAATGTCCTTTTCTGTGAATAGCACGAGGATATTTGAAAGGATGCTACAGACAAACCTTCTCAAAATCACAAGAAGTGGGATGTAATGAATTAGTTTTCTCTCACCTTTTCGTTTCCATATTTTATATTGTGGCTGATCATAAAAAATGTTCATATTTCCCCTAAAACAGACTGTCACAGGATTTAAACTCTGTTTCTTGTCTGTTTTCTTGTATACAACATTTGGTAAGTCAGAACATGGGTCAATTGAACCAAATTCATTACCAGTCTTTTTCAAGTATTTGTCAGTTAACCAACCTGATAACTGATAATGAGTCCTTTTTCCCCCTGTAGATTAATCATGACTTCAGTGTTGGGAATGGCACTGCTGGGCTTGGCCCTGATGGCAGGGCCCACCGTGGCCTTTGTCCCTAACGGGGGTAGGGTGTCCACTCATGTCAGCATTACTCGAACAGCCCTATTGGATAAAGTGAAAGAGACATGTCGGGCAGTGGTTGAGGCAGCAGGTCATGAGTTCAATCCCACGGTAGGTTGGAAACTAATAAATGTACAAGACAGCACAAACCTAGTCTCACAACATACAGAAACATGCACACTTAGAAATACACACTCATTCACCCACATTTTAATTCATTGTGTGTTTCGATTCATCCTGAGTGTCAGCTCAGACACATAAATACACATAAAGGTTCACTCCGTGGTTTGTTCATGCCACATTTTGAAAGGAATACTTCTACATTTAAGAAATTTTGCTTATTGCCTTTCTTGGCTTTGATAAAAACACAGAAGTGTCACCCAGAGAGATGCCCCCTTTTTGAGATCTTCACTGTCCTAAATGAGACTCTTTTTCCAGGGTGGCAGAGCTCTCAGGGTCTCTTTCCATGCTGAGAGCATCAGGTCTGGATGATGCAGTGGGCCTGATCCCAAAGGTTAATAGTCTCCTTTAAGTGTCAGTTGTACTGGAGCTAAACCTATATGGGGTTAACCTTCCCTATCTTGCCTGACCCTGAGGTTGGCACTTTCCTCTTCTACCCCCTTTCTAGATACACCAGGGAGTGGCCTCACTGATGGGGACAGCCTGATAGTTAGTCACCCTATCATAAATTAAGTCTAACAGTTCCTTGCATACAGTTCCTTTTCCTAAGGGAACCTCAAAGAAGAACCTATTTTAGACCATAATCCGAGTTAACCTCAAACCATCATGTGGAAGAGGCTTACCTTGAAGAGGTGCAGAGGACCAAGCTAGGTTGGTGTGTGATGTCTTCTCTCAGCAAAGTTTACGCCTTTATTTAAGGACAAAAAGCAGTCTCTGTGTGGTACAGAGTTACTAAAACCTAATCTAAAAAATGAAGAAAACAAAAAGGCACAGAGTCGTCAGGAAAGTGAAAAAGAACAACGCTTTAGATTTTCCTGCCTTACGGTAATTTGAGGAACTAATTCATCCTGTTGTTCACAAACATGTACTTACATGGACAAAAGTAATGGTTGCTGTTATGAGGAAGAAATATGGTGTGGACAGGCTACAGGCACTACTATAAGGAAAAGCACAATCTGCACAAATCACCGTGGTAAGAGTTTGCTACTGAGACTTATGGACAGTTCCTTCTTGCTCTTACAGCAGGAGTCCCTGAGCAAAATACACTTCCTCTTTGAATTTCAATTTTAAGTTACAGGAGGCCTAATATTCAAAGTATAACATGACAATGTAGAAAATAAAACGTAAAACTATAAGTAATGTAGAATGTAAAATAGTCTAAGTAATAAGAAATTCATGTAATGAATAATGAGAAGTAATACTGACAAATATGACTGGAAACATAAAAACTCAAAACATGCAAATGAGTACATATGGATCACAATGAGTATAACTTGTTAAATACGTATGACTTAAGTATACCAGTTCATGAATATAAGAGTATATGTAACACATAAGGTAAAACTTGACTTACTACATGACTTGGATATATGATGATATTAAGAAGAAGAAAACAAAGTGAAAGTACATAGTTAAACCATCTTCACCCCTGAATCAGTAAAGCAGTGATAGGGCTTTGTTGGGCTGGTGGAGAGAGCTGAAAGTTCTGTTCTTTTTGCTTTCTTCAACACCTTCAACCAGCAGCTTACTTAGCTTAGCTTAACATGAGGATTTTGTTATCAGTGGATAGAGCCAGGATAGCTGGTGGTGGCTTCGTATTTAGCACACGGACATATAAGAGCAGTATCAATCTTCTCTTCTGAGGAAAGCAGCAGAGGATCTTTTGTACAGCAGCAGTGATAGGTTCCATAGGCTAATTTTTAAAAACAACATTTCCAAATTGTCTCTATTGTTAAGGTAAACAGTCTCTTCTGTCTCCAGGGTTCCTCTCCTGAGGAGTTGGTTCAGGCTTGTCTTGGACCCACAGCAAAAGGAGAAGTGTCAGGTGCCAAGTTTCACTCTGCTCTTCAAGAAATCTACAACCAGAATGGACTGGTAGACTATCACTATGTCAATAGGTGGGAAAAAGATTGAAACAAAACAGTTATTAAAAAGCAGTAAAATAATGGGACAGGTGTGTTGCAAAGATTCAAGGATTTATGATTTGCCCATACACTTACCAAGTTACTGCTTGTGAAAAATTGTTTCAGTGCTCCACACCACTTCAACTCAGAGGCATTCCTGCAGGGACGTGGCCTAATCACGGAGGGAATGGTGGCCATTAAGGCTAACATTCGCAAGGAGAACTTCCAGGCTGCCAGAGAAACACTGGGCAGAGTTCTTCATACACTACAGGTGAGAGAGCAACTAGGCATAGAGAAGTTTAGATGAAAAATTAGAAAGAAAGTGGAATAACCATCAGGCACAGACTGGAAGACAGAATGATGAAGGCTAAAGGAGGCAGAATAAGTGAAAATAGAAACAAAACAGAAGAAAAGATTTAAATGTTCACTTTACTGTGTGTACAAATACTGAATATGAAATGTGTATGTATAAAGGTGTGGATGTGTGTGTGTTTCCATGTGTTGTCAGGACTTCTACAGCCACAGTAACTGGGTGGAGCTGGGATACACAGAACCATACATCAACCTCATTCGCCCAGATCAGCCACTGGAAAACCTGGCAGGTGTGTGTATGAGCATTAGTGTATTTGTCATCTCCATTGGAGGACTATGTTTATATTTCTGTGGGTTGAGTATAATGTCATAAAGTAGATAATATTCATTCATTGTAGTTTGGTAAAACATCTGGGAATATGTATAGACCAAAGAGCAGAGTGTGCTGTTTTGTCTTTATGCCATGGCCATGGAGACTGCTCCATTCTGATTGGCTGGTGGGTGTGTATTATTTTCAAACCACTGCTATTAGTTAATAACAATTAAACTAAATTACTGGCTGGAACTACTACGCTGTTACTTGATTTTCTAATCATTTTAGTCATAAAAATTATTTCAAGGTTAACATTACACATATTTCACTGTTGACAAGAGACTGTAGTATACGTGGAATAATCCACTCCAAATCATGTTATGAAAATTAAGCACTACCAACCATGCAGATTTTTGTGGATTATTTTAAGATGTACTCACAAACAGCAGCTGTCAGGTTATGAAGTGAAGCAATGGTCTGGAGTCAAATGTATTGTTTATCCTGTCTCTTGTTCACACTTTGCTTGCGTAGATGTCAACACTGCCACCTGCAGGGACTGTGCCAGTGGAACATGTCCCAATTCCATTCTCCCCAACATCCTGAATGAGAAGAAGCTCACATCAGGCTACATGGGAATCTACTCTTCCGCCAAGCCTAAAGGTATCAGTGACAGATATATCTCCAAACCACATTCAGATACATAACCCCATATAAATTCATTCATTAGGAACACAAGGCAACAGTTACCATGACAGCATGTGCAGATGCAGCCTCAAAATCCATCACATTAAATACAAACAGTTTTAACTGACCTCAAGGAGGACATTAACTTCCCCAGCATGTCAACATTTTTATGAGATTATTACAAAACCATAAATTATTTGACTTACTGTGATTTAAAGAAGGTTGAACAAATAATATTTTATGTTGCTAGAATGCTGATATGTACATTTAGAATTAAGTAATTAATTTAGATCAATGCCACTCGTATGTGGGCTTTTAATATCTAGCAGTCACTTCTTAAAATCACTTCCTGAGATCATCATCGTATTTACGATTTATTTTGGAGCTGTTTCCCTGTTTCCAGCCTTTATGCTAATCCAAGGTAACTTACTGCCGTCTGTAGCTTCATATTTATTGTACAGTTTGTGTATTTTCCAAAATGTCAAACTAATCCTTTCACACCCTATAGATAATCTATAACGGTTAACCAATAAATAACATACATCACCTCTACTCAGACATCCAAGTTGCCCCAGTATTTAACGGGCTGTAATAAAGCATTAAAATTCACATGCACCACTCATTAACCAGGTGTTTAAAATCATGTTTGTCTGACCTAGAGTACAAGACAAACAAAATTAAATTGTACCAGGAAGTTCAATCTACCCACAAAAGCATTATACATCATTTTGAACCAACAACCAGTTTGACCTGTCCCTTCTGTCCTGTGCCAGGTAAATGTAGCCATGGAGGTGCAGCTGACCTGACTAGCACAACAGTTCCTCGTGGTGGCATCAACAAAGATGAGCATCGCTCTGACAACGTGGCCTTCCACAATGCTGCTGTGAATGCAGCCACCGCTGCAAGTCTCCAGCTACTGGAGGACATCCGCTTAGCTGCTGGGGACAATGACTTTCTGAGGTATGACGGTCAGATATGAAAAATATCTATTTGTGCATTAATGAAAGAAAGCATACTAAAAATTGTACTATAGGATAAAAATAAACATTCATTCTTTCTTTCTCGCAGAATGATGGGGATTGCCCGCTCATCGGTCGTGTGCTTTGTTATTGACACCACTGGCAGTATGTCTGATGACATTGATGAAGCCAGGGATGTTGTTTACGAAATAATTGACAGCAAAAAAGGAACACAGGATGAGCCCTCTGAGTACATCCTGGTGCCCTTCAATGACCCCAGTATGAACCCTTCTACTCTTCTGATCATGTTTAGGAAACCATTAGTAGTATTAGACCCCTAACCATGCTATAGCATGTTATACATGTAATGCTTGACTGTATAGTTGTAATACTAGTTATATTTTAGTAAATAATCTCTTTTAAAACATAAAAAATAAAGTAAATTGTGGTGCACACTGTAAATCTGCATACAGTCACAGTGTTTCCGTAGGATTAAATCTGAAAAAAAGTTTTTGGTTTTTTATGTAGGTTTTGGACCGATGATCAGGACAACAGACCCCGATAAGATGAAAAAAGAAATCTCTGAACTTACAGCACAGGGAGGGGGAGATATCCCTGAGCTGTGTCTGTCAGGACTTCAGGTACTAAAGCTAATATATTATCACATTGTAACTAGCATGGTTGTTGATTGGATATTTTTAAGGTTCCCTGAGAGACCGTAGTGATGTGGGAACTGACCAGGTTTTGTTTCTCCAGCTGGCTCTCACTGGTGCCCCAGCCTCCTCCCACATCTATGTTTTCACTGATGCTACACCCAAAGACATCGCCCTCAAGGACACGATTCTTGCTCTCATCAGGAGCACCAAGTCAACAGTAAATACTGACTGACACCAATGATGACAAATGTTCACTCAGTGTATTTATGTGAATTTAATTTGAAAAGCTGGGGGTCTAATCTCCACACGAACTAATCTCCACAGGTGTTATTCCTGCTGACCCCGGCCAGTAGGAGGCGTCGTCGTTCCCTCGGTACTGGTTCCTTTGAAGACTACAAGGATCTGGCTGTGGCCTCTGGAGGCCTGGCCATCCAGGTGTCCAAGAGACAGTTGCCTCAGGCAACAGACGTCATCCTTGACACCTCTACTTCAGCTCTGGTAGGACGCTGCAGTTCCACTGGTTCATCCTGTACAATCTAAAGCAGGTAGCAGGCCGTTAGTGGTTGGACCAGTTTGAAGAATCAAAATCATTCAGTTTTCTCCTCTTGCTCTCCGTACTGCTTTAGGTGACAGTTCTTCAGCGGGCAAGGAACTCTGGGAAGCAGGAGACTTTCCCCTTCATACTGGATGAATCTCTTCAAAACATCACCATCTACATCACAGGAACATCCATTACTTTCACACTGACCAACCCTGCAGGTAGCTCGCCAGTCTCAATGCAATGTTTCCACCAGTTGTAACTCATGTGTATGAGACTTGTTGGATGTCCATCTGTCTTGCTAAGAACATTGTTATGATAGACTTGGACTAGCGGTGGGCGATATGACGATATTAGATCGTGAAGGATTACAACGTGAAGACGATCTTTCAAACTGCAGAGATCGTGGGATCGTCTAGGGCACATTCTATAAATTGCAGTTCTATTCTGATGCACCGACGCACCAGACGTATTGACGTCGTCAACCTGACCGACCAATCATAGCGAATTACGGGCAGTGACGCGCTTTCCTACCCGCCTCCTTGTTTATGTGTGTGTAGCGGTAGCACATGGAGAGTGATGGCTGAAAGCCAAACGGAGTTGGTCGTTAAAAAAAATTCCACCTCCATTATATGGAATTGGTTTGGATTTTCCGCAACTGATCAAGCGCAAGCAAATGTAATTTGCAAAGTTTGCACAGAAACCGTTCGCACGTCGGGTGGTAACATGACGAACCAGAATGTTGTTGTTGTTTACCTTAAACTTTACGTTATCTGCACATGCAGGCAAAACTGCGACTATTTGAAATAAAATCTGTTAAGAAAGGTTCTTTGGTCTAAATTGTCTGTTTTTCTTTTTCCAATTTAAGATCGTGATAAAATCGAAATCGTGATTTTATTTTTAAAAAATCGTGATATGATATTTTTGCCATATCGCCCACCCCTAACTTGGACTAAGTATTCATGGTGAATAATACATGGTAAACATTTTCAGGTGTGAGTCAGAGCAACACTGAGGCCAGTGGTAAACTGGGGACCATTCGGACAGTGGGCAACCTGAGAAGAATTCGTCTCAACGCTGACAAGCAGACAGGAAGATGGCAGATCACCATTAACTCCAACCAACCATACACACTCAAAGTCACAGGTAAGACACTGTATATTTGTTAATTACACTTGCACTTCCTGTTCAGACATGCTGTTGAAATTTTGTCTTCTTGCCCACAGATTGATCTGCTGATCAAAGTGTTTCTTATCAGTAGCATATGTATTCCCTCTGCTTTCAGTCCATGCAAAGTTTGAAGACTGATGCTCCTTCTATCAAAGTTGTTAGGTTCACTGAGTTCTTAGTGTGTATTTACTGTAAGTGTGTGCTTGTGTTTCCAGGCCAGAGTACCATTACGTTTATCTATAACTTTGTGGAAAGCTTCAAGGGACCTCACCCAGGTTTTGCAGTACTCAGTGGGCGTCCACAAGCAGGTAACATACGTAATAAATTAATTTCATTGTTTCACAACAGTAATATATTTGTACATTGTGGGCATTTTTTCCAATCATAGAGCATGTTCTGATAGTTTCACACCCATAATATCAAATGTGTTGTCCATGAATTATCATGTGATAGCTCTAAAATATACATATGTATTAGTCAGTATGTAGTTAATTGCTGAGCATGTGTTATCTTAGGCTGTAACATCGTTATCTAGTGGTGAAAAGTAATTAGGGCACCAAAGTGACAGCTGCATATGACAACCTATCGATCACACATTTCAGCCCATGAAAAGGATGTGAAAATCGAGGCTTTTCTCCACAACCCATGCTAAAAATAATCTAGGGTTTACTCTTGAAACAATCAACCACTTTTACCCACAAAAATGAATTTTCCTCTCATTCCTCTCTCTACTTTCCTTCTCTCCTCTGGAAACCAGGCCAGCCTGCCACCTTGATGCTCTCAGTAATGGGAAGGAAAGGTCCGTCATCAGTGAGTGTTGGAAACATTGGCCTAGTAACTGTGTCTGGTCCTGAGGTTGTGAGCAATGGTACGATGACTGACATGGGTAGCGGAGACATCCTGGTGACTGTTGACATGGTCCCTGAGGGGGAGTCTGTGGTCTTTCTGAAAGGAACAGACAAAGTGTCAAACTCTGAATTTCAGAGGCAGTCTACCACCCAGATGTCTGTCTCCAAAGTGAACATCCAGGTCAGTCTCTTCACGTCCTCCTCACAATCTGTCTACCCATTCATGCAGCCTCTGTTTGATGATCACTTACAGAAAAGATGGGGGTAGCAAAATAATAGGCTTACAGTATCTAAAAAATGATATAAATATAAACTACAAGAATGACATTGTTCTTCTTAACCTGCCCTTTTCCCTTGATCTTCCATTTTCCCTCCAGGCTGTGGTGGACAGCAGTGTGGAGCCAGGAGAAACCTTTAAGCTCCCCTTCAGTGTAATGACCCAGGGCTCTGGTGGTCAGTTTGAAATCAGTGCCAGAAATGACAGAAACTTCTCCATGTCCTACTCAAGCAGGTGAGGAGAGGAAACTAAAAAGAACTCCTTTTTTAAATGTCCTTGTCAACACTGAAATGATACGTAAACATTTTGGGAAAATGCTACTCCCTTTCTCATAGAAGGTAGGTTGTGGAAAAGATACTGTGCCATTGACTTCAGACCAGGTTTTTGTTGGTCAATATCGCAATTGCTTTCCACTGCCTCAAGATGATAACAATGCACCTGACCACACCTCATGTTAAGCCCAACACGCCCATGGGCACTCACATGGGTGCAATTGGTATGCAATGTGGGCACTTGATGGGGAAATTACAACTGCGTTGGTCTGAAACTAGAAAAAACACTTGTGTGTTGCGGCAAAGTAACGATTTGGAGTAAACATTCGTGTGAGTCACATGTTATTACTCCACCCAAACAGATTACTTAACCGCAAGTCGTTCATTCGTTCGTCATCTCCCGCTTATCCGGATCCGGGTCGCGGGGGCAGCAGCCTCAGCAAAGAGGTCCAGACAGCCCTCTCCCCAGCCACTTCCACCAGCTCCTCCGGGAGAATCCCGAGGCGTTCCAAGGCCGGCCGAGAGATATAATCCCTCCAGCGTGTCCTTGGTCGGCCCCGAGGCCTCCTCCCGGTGGGACATGCCCGAAACACCTCCCCGGGGAGGCGTCCAGGAGGCATCCTCACCAGATGCCCGAACCACCTCAACTGGCTCCTCTCGACATGGAGGAGCAGCGGCTTTACTCCAAGTCCCTCCCGGATGACCGAGCTCCTCACCCTATCTCTAAGGCTGAGCCCAGCCACCCGAAACTCATTTCGGCCGCTTGTATTCGCGATCTCGTTCTTTCGGTCATTACCCAAAGCTCATGACCATAGGTGAGGATCGGAACGTAGATCGACCGGAAAATCGAGAGCTTCGCCTTCTGGCCTGTGCATATTCTCATTTGTCCAGGTCATAGTATCCTAAAGGAGTTTAAATCGAAAAAACAACTGGACTTGATTATTTGTCTGGGAAGACGTTTCACCTCTCATCCAAGAGGCTTCATCAGTTCATGTACGCATTTGACCATCTGGTCCAGTCCCAGCCTGGTCAGATGCGGCTACAAAGTCAATCATAGACCAGCGACCTAGGGTATCCTGGTGCCAAGTGCACCTGTGGACATCCTTATGTTTGAACATGGTGTTAGTTATGGCCAAGCTGTGACTAGCACAGAAGTCCAATAACTGAGCGCCGCTCGGGTTCAGATCGGGCAGGCCGTTCCTCCCCACCACACCCTTCCAGGTCACGCTGTCATTGCCCACGTGAGCGTTGAAGTCTCCCAATAGGACAATGGAGTCCCCTTTCGGGGCACTTTCCAGCACCCATCCCAAGGACTCCAAAAAAGGTGGGTAGTCTGAACTGCTGTTCGGCGCATAAGCACCGACAACAGTCAGAACCCGATCCCCGACCCGGAGGCGCAGGGACACAACCCTTTCGTCCACTGAGGTAAACTCCAACATACAGGCAGAGAGCCTGGGGGACACCAAAAAGCCCACCCCGGCCCTCCGCCTCTCACCCGGAGCAACTCCAGCAAAGAGGAGAGACCAGCCCCTCTCAAGGACTTGGGTTCCGGAGCCAACGCTATGTGTTGAGGTGAGGCCGACTATATCTAGTCGGTATCCCTCAACCTCTTCCACAAGCTCCCGCTCCTTCCCCGCCAGAGAGGTGACATTCCATGTTCCAAAAACCAGTTTCCGTAACCGAGGATCGGACCACCAAGGGCCCCGCCTTGGTCTGCTGCCCAATCCACACTGCACTGGATCCCGCTGAATCCTCCTGCAGGTGGTGAGCCCACTGGGAGACGAACCCATGTAGCTGGTTCGGGCTGGGCCCGGCCACCAGGCGCTCGCCCACGGGCCCCAACCCCAGGCCTGGCTCCAGGGCGGGGCCCCGGTGTCCCTCCGGGCCGGGTACTCGGGTTCTTGATATTTCTCATCATTAGGATCTTCTGAACCGTTCTTCGTCTGGCCCTTCACCTGGGACCAATCTGCCTTGGGAGACCCTACCAGGGGCAAAATGCCCCCGACAACATAGCTCCTAGGGTCATTAGGGCTCTCAAACTCCTCCACCACGGTAAGGTGACGGTTCAAGGAGGAGTTAACCGCAAGTCGCATCTTTAAATTTCAATAAAAATCAAGTGCATAGATTGTACACAATTACACTTCCTATAACCAAGAAAGGTATTTTTCTGTCTTCTCTTGACAGCCTCACCTTGACAACTGGAAGATATACTAATGATACGTTGACCATTACGGCACCTGCCAGCACACCATCAGGCACTGATATCACTCTGACTGTGCATGCCAAGTTGTCCAGTGGTGTTGACTCCAATTACGTCGTGTTGAGATTGTCTGTTGTCACCAAGGTATTCAGACACATCCTGGATCACACATACTTGGAAGTAGTGAAATAAATAAATACAAAAGCATTTGGACATAGCCAAAGAACACATGCACAGAACACGTACATTTCTCACCTTCCTTTTTCTGTTCTCTTTTCAGATAACAGATTTTGATCAGCCTTTGTGTGAAGTGGTTAGTGTGCAGGCTGATGATTGCCCTCAGGATGTTTCTCAGTGTGGACCTTTCAAGTGGGAGCTCTTAGCCAACCTTACTGATGGAAACGGTGCTGGGATCGAGAGAATCTCCCTGCAACAGGGTAATGGATCCCTCTCATACACCTCTCTGAGTGCTCCTGTTGTCCAGGCGAACTACAACGCCTCCTGCTGCTCGCAGATTGTGGAGATCATAGCTGTAGATAAAGTTGGCAATGTGGGAAAATGCTACCAATCAATTGTTCGTTCGGATGGCCCTCCTGCTTTAACTCTGTCATTGCCACTGTGGTTGTGCCTGTTGGTGTCTGCTTTTGTAAAGGGCTTAGTTTAGTTTAGCTGTGTCTTATTTCTGTATGCTGCATCAGGTATTGGACACTGTTGATGATTTTAAATTACTCAAAACAATTTGCTACCATGATGAACTGAAACATTGGTGACAGTCATCTTAATCCCTGATATCCTGCTAGCGCAAAGTGTGAGCACTGATTAAACAATGGATGATGAATATATACTTAAATTGTCTGAAACAAAATGTTTACAATAAATACTGTTGTACTTAATGTTTGCACATTTTTCAGTTTCAGCAACAGAAATCGTGTTTTGGTTAAAGATGACCATATTTTGAGAAACATTAATAATAGGTTTCAATCTGAAAGGATAAAGGAAACTAACAATAATTTGCATAGTGAGTAGCTTTGAAGATTCCTGTTCTTTGGTGTGAGATTTGAGAGATTGGCACGTCTTGGCAAGCCTGTATGTTAACCAAAAATATTAAATTATAGTGCATTTGTCATGGGTCGCCATGACGGACATTTTATGTTTGAGCTTTTGTGTTATGCTTGCACTTTTAGTTTGGTAATTTCTTGTTTTATTTTTTTAGTTACTTTCCTTGTTTCATCTTGATGTTTTGACTTCCTGTCTTTGTCCTGTTTACAGTCCTTGTTGATTGTCTGCTCCGCCCTAATGTGTTTCATCTGTGTTTAATCACCCTTGCCTCCCTTGTGTCTATTTAGTCTCTGTGCTCCCCTTTTTTTATGTCAGATTGTCTGTTCTAGACCCCGTGCTTCTGTTTAAACCCCATTGTGTTTCCTCATGCTTCTGCTACCTGTTCAAGTTCCTTGTGTTACCTTGTGCTTCTGGTTCTTGTTTGAAGTGCCCTGTGTTTCCTTGTGCTTCAGATTTCTGTTCATGTCCCCTGTGTTACCTGTTGGTTGGTTCACCAGTTTTGAAAATTCTCCTGTTTATTAAACATTTTTCACCAACTCCCTTGTGTTGGCTGCATTTGGGTCCAGCCTTACCTTAATACATGACAGTAAGAACTGACCAAAAAATGGATCCAGCAGCCTATGCCAGCTTCCTGTTTGTGCAGTTGCCTAATGGGGAGACAAACTTGTCCAAACCCCTTTGTACATTGGCTGACCCACTGTCAGATTCAGATCTGGAGGACCCTGAGCCGTCTCCTTTTTGGGGATCCCAGCTAGCTTTTCCTGGGAGTATCTAGGGGTTGGAGCCCCTGGAAAGAAACGCACGTCAGAGATGCCGGTTCCCCAAGCAGCCTCAGCCCCAGGACTCCAGCTTAAAGCCCCAGTCACAGCCCTAGCTGCCCAGCTATCCAGAGCCTTTGCTGTCCTGTGAGTACGAGCCTTCGCCAACCACGCCAACATATCAGCTGTTTCAGTGTCAGGGGTCCCAGTTGACTCCTCCCTTACTCCTGAGTTGGTGGTTCTGGGCAGCGTCTCACCTGTTCCTGCATTGTGGGCCCTGGCTGCCGCATCACCAGTTCCAGCATCGTGGGTCCCGGTTGATATTACAACTACCCCTCGTGTCCCATCAGCAGCCCAGATGACTCCTGATTCTCTGTCGGCGGACTGGCCGACTCCTGATTCTCTGTCGACAATCCGGCCGACTCCTGATTCCCAGTTGGCTGCCTGGCCAACTCCTGCTCGTGTCCCATTGGCGACCCGGCCGACTCCTGCTTGTGTCCCATCGGTGGCCCAGCTGACTTCTGATTCCCCAGTCAGTGGTATAATATGTGACAGCATTTTTAGATTTCATTTCAAATGGTGTCATTTGCGCAGTTACAGATAGTATGTTCTTGATGATTTTAATGATGTGTGCATTTGTTAACATCTAATAATTAATATTAATGATCTATAAACTGTGCCATAATTCAGGAACCACATCTTCCAGAGGCTGCATTTGAAGACACAAAACGCAGGTGCCTTTTCTTTGGCAATGAAGGCTCCAACAGGTGGATCCTTTGTGGACCAATCTATTGCAATAATTATTGCATGCTGTCTTAAGTATTGGGTTTGCAGCTCAGTTAAAAAGGTAAGAGTACAACTGTTAAAAAAGCAAGGGCCTTAAAACTGTTGGGGTATTGTTAGTTTATAAGGTATGAAGTTTACAAGGCTATCAGAAATTAAGAAAGTATTAATGTTAAATAATAACTTTAAATTAACTAATGTTTCTCGAGGGCACCACCCTGAAACAGGATAGCCAGTATTGGTACAGTCTCGAATGGTACTATTACTTTGCAACTCTGATTAATAAAGTTGAAGGATCAAAGTTCTACTGAGTAGAGGTTGGAAATATTAATACTTGTGCAACATTAAACACATCAACCAATATACTCAGAGATTTATTAAATAAAAACTGTGTGCGCAGAAAAAGGCAAGGTGGCTGAATTAAAGTGGTCCCTGTGACCACATGGCCTAACAAGGACTACAAAAAAGATGGCGGTAAAATACACAGTAAGTTGAGACCACATGTCATGCAAGGCTAAGAGAGGGTTAGCTGCATGCAAGTCCTAGTACTGGGATGTGCTACAGGTATGTGTGTGAAACATACAAGTATCAAGTTAACAGTGTGGCTAACCAACAACCTAAGCAGACATTACAACAACAAAGCTCAGTGGATACTTTAACAAAGTACTGTGCTTATGTGGCAAGCAGGGCTAAGAAGGGTGAATACTAAAGGTAATCGAATACTGTACAACAATTCTAATCAAATCAACCACACAATAAGCTGGTAAGAAAGTTAGTACATTAAATTGAGTATCGGTTGCCAACAACGCCACTCCAGGAATTGCACCTGGAGAATTAGGTTAACCCTTTACACAGTGATTAACATGCACAAGTTTGTTTGCTAATGAGGGCTTGAGACTGGGTCCAGAGTACAAATTCAATTAATTTTTATTAGCAGTCTGTTATTTTAACAATTTTTCACTAAAAATGTTTTACACACTCACACATTCATACCCACACACACATCCCTCAGGCAATCCAAAAAATACACAAAGAAAGAGCAAATAGCAAAATTGGGTAAATCAATTAAACACATAACTAAGCAAACTACACAAATGCAAACAAAAGAAAACTGTCAGAAACAAAATTACTCAAAAGTAATCTAAAACGTATCAATCTAATAAACATGCAAACAATTAAACCAAAATACTACTAATAACTAACCAAAAATAAACAAACAAACAAAAGAAAACATGCAAAGCAACCCACACAAAGCAAAAGTAATTTCAAAAATGATTTACCCTCAATAGGCTACATGCAATATTTAAAATCCTAAAACACATACATTGGGCACCAGGGTAAAGACGTTAACCAATTTACTGCCAGAACAGCACAGTCGACGGTTTAACGTTGGATGTAGGCTGGATGATTTGAACAGCCACACCAAACAACAGGCAAAACAGCAGCCAGCCGACAGCGGCGCGGGGGGGTTAGTGCTGGCAGACGCCGATCGCACACATTAAACCTGCCATGAAAAGAGATATTTAGAGGCTGAACAGTACTTATGACAGTGGCTTGAGCTGCCGTCATCACACAAACATACCGTCAAGAGTTAAATGCGTGTCGCACAGGTGAAGAGGAGAAACACCTAAGCCACAGCGGCTCAACCACGACGTGACAGCTCAACAGCTGATAGGTCTCCGCTGCGGCACACGTGAGGAGATACCCTGCCCTCCATTCCACTATAATCCCAATCATAATCTAAATTCTCTGCCATGATTTCTAAATTCACAACAGTTATTGCAAATCCTCCACACCTTTCAAACTTGCTTTGTCGATCAGTGTTCCTCCACTCTGCAAAATTAGATTGAATTTTGAATTGAATTAGATTTCTTCAGTCATGTTAATGTCTTTGACAAAAAAGCACCTTGCATTTACACTACACTTTTTGTTGCAGCATAAATTCACACTCAAAACACCATTGAAACCTATTCTGACCATAATTCTGATACATTTTTATACTGACTGGTATTGTATGAATATCAGTCCAGGTTGGGTATCATCAGATAATCCATAATTCATTTGGAATTTAAAAACAAAAAAAAACAAAAAAAAACAAAAAAACCAAAACAAATGCAAATCTGCTACTTGTGTCAAAACCAAACACAGAAAAAAAGTTTTTGATTCCAGAATCAAAATGTGAAAAAAACAGTCAAAAACGGTCCGTGTTTGATTGATTTTTCATTTTGTTATCATGTTATAAATAACTTTATAAGTGTGTGATTGGCTTTGGAAATGAGTATAGTAAAAACAAAACCTAAATTTATTTACAAAAGCATTATATAGCTTGAATTTTATGTGATTTTATTGCAGATTTTTATCAAAGCACATACAAACACAAGCTAATATGACACAAACTCACCACCCACACTCTGTTGGCAAAATCCTAAATTCAACCGCATATTCTGATACTGATCTTGTGCCTGGATTCAGGGTAAATAGCATTTTAGTGGCTTCTCTACCGCTAATGGGATGATCAAAAACCTTCCTAATTTCTGCAACAAATTAATCTTAGGAATTACACACAGGGGAGCCTCTTGGCGGAGGGGGTTGGAGTCCATGTTGGCCAGATTGTTCTGTTACTACTTTGATAATTTAGACCCGAAAACAGATAGAGGCAAGGTGGAGATGGAGATCTCTTAAGTCCTATGTATGCTATGGGGTGTGCCTCGACTTGACAGACATACCCAAAATAGATCAAGAATAGCTCCACAACCATCAGGTCCACTTGCAAGAGGTTGGTCACTATGGTACGAAGCCCCATAACGGGAAAAAACATTTGTGTGGGGGGGGGGTGCACACCAGAAACTTTCGCATGCGCAGGAGAAAGTTTCACATGCCCACTGAAAGTTTCACTTGAAAGTAGGCTCATTTTTGGGAGACCGATTAGGGTGAAACACCATAAAAGTGTGCAAATACACATCAAATTAACCATTTACACAACATTTTTTAGGGCGATCAGGACAGGATGCGGTAGTTTCGTTTTCCGTTAACTTGACGTGCTTGTCTTTACGGTTTTCAGGAGCTTGGCATAATTGTGCATGCGCGACATCCACCTGTAGACTTCGATGGTGGACAGTGGACCATCAGCTCCTTGGAGAAAGTAAAAACTTCATGGAGAGGCAGTCATCCGGAGGATGAACAAAATTCAGGATGAACATGCGGCAGAGGTGAAGAAAAGGCGTCACACATAAAACAATGGATGGACAGAAAAAGAAAAAAAACAGCAAATGAAAGAGCAACTGAATAAAAGATGACTTCATGCAGCAGATTTTTTGAATGAATTGATAAATGAATGAATTGAAATTAATTAACTGAAATGTATTGAACTCATTGCATGCATCAAGGTTGCATGCCTCAAAATTCCTTGAAAGAAAGGCATTGGAAAAAAAGGTTGAGGGTAAAGAAGCTGCTGCAGCAAAGGTAAGACTAAAATCGCAGACACTCACACAGCTACTGTCAAATATCATTCATACACCTAATGTTTAGCATTTAATATAACTTTTATAATGTACCAGCTCAGAGAAGTCCCTATGTGGTAGAAATTGAAAAAGATGACAGCCTCAGAAAAACATTGTAACTGATGGAAATCTTGACTGACTACTTTCTGGCAGACATAGTATTCCTGTAAATTGGTAATGTTTAAATAAATGGAAATTAAACAATAAATGAGTGTGAAAGTATGTCCATGCCAGCCAGGCCTGAGATGAACCGTGTTACTGCAGAATATCATGTTGAGTTTGTAGGATGAACAGTGGCAGGGTTTAAAGTACATCCACTGACCTTCTTCATTAACTTCCCCTCCGGCACCTCCACAGACGATACGCCTTTCACATCAGTCATCTTCCCAGCCCAACTTGCATGAACGACCTCTGTCTCTGTCTCTCTCTCCTGTCACGCTCCTGTCCACTCCCCCTCTTTATCTGTCTCTAGAGCATCTGACACTGGTTGATAAT